ATCGACTCGTCGAGGCACCTCCCGAGACAGACACGTTGCTTTTTATCTGCTCTACATCCACGAGGTTCGATGAAAATTCTCCATTGTCGAACCGCTCGCGACTGGGCGCTATCATTGAGGACCATCTGGTCGGCACGGCTCGCGAGGTCACATCTGAAGGGTAGAAATAAGAAAAACAAGTTTAAAAAAGGCCCCACCCCACGTTCGTCTGTCAATAGGCTTGTCCGCATGCTACGAACCTGCGACAGGTCCCACAAAGAAGCGCATTCCTGATACGCGACCCTAGCCTGGTGCGTCTTTTGGCATTTTCCACGCCGCGAACCGGCCGCCTGGGTTAGTTGGCATCTGCCAAGTGGGCGGGCTCCTGGGCAAATCTCACAAGCCAAGTTCGGCGGTTTGGAGCTAAAAGCGAATTTACTATGCTTGGCGTCGGTCTAGGCTGATGTGTATCGAGATCCGGTACGACACATCCATGGCTGGCCCTGAAACGAAAGAAAAAGAAAAAAAAGAAGGAAGGAAGAAGGAAGAACAAAAGAAAGGATTTACCCGGTCATACACTGTATACATCTGCCGAGCCAAGCAAGGCGTTGGCACCAACATGGACAGATCGGTTGATTAACTGCCCGGGCTCGATGGCTTTTTGTTTCAAAACCACAGTGCCATCGCGGGTGTCCTGTTTATGTTACCCCGACCTTGACAGGACCGCGCGCGCACAGAACATTAGGCTGTTGTGTGCTGTGTGTTGTGTAACCCCCCTGGGAACGTAACCACGCAGCCCCGTCCATCCCGTTGCCCCATCCTGGCAGCAACCGGGCTTGCTGATGATACAGACAAACTTTTGGCGAGGCCTAGGCGTAGCGACGCTGAAGGTTCAACCGAAACCGAGGGTATGTTGCGCTGGGCTGCGTGGCATGAGGATGAGGCCGCGGAAGCGCGCGCACGCGTGTCTACCTGTTGGTAGTGGACAATCCAGGCATCCAGGCATCCAGGTATCTAGGCAGGAACTTGCAGGCAGCCCGCTGAGCAGGCCCGGATCTGGAATTGCTCCAAGCGTCAAGCGTCCTGCCTGCCCTTTCTTTCCCTGTCTGCTTTCGGGTTATGCACTCGGTTGATCGGCCGGCGGCGTTTGCAGCAGCCGCCGGCCGAACAGGGCTAAAAGATGGGGTTCTCTTGCGGGTTCCATTGTTCCATTTGTTTGCCTTTTTCGTCCAGTCTGCGCTCCTCTTGGCCAAGGGGACGTCTTTGACACAGGCCTTGGCGCGACTGAGAGGGCTTTGATGCAACAAGGAGGTGGAGATGCGAGTGGTGCGGGAGATGGAACCCACGCGATGGAACCCACGCGCCTCCCCAAGTTCCCAGGTCCCTTTGGGGTCTGTGCGAGCCTGCCCGCGAAGCTTGTTCGAATGTTAAACCGCTAGAGGATAAACCGCTAGAGTACGTAGGCCTGGGGAAACGACGATGGCTGCCAGAACGCGGTGCTGGCTAACAATTTCAAATTTCAAATTGCTGGCTGCATACAAGGCGGGAAAAGAGCGAGTCCCAGCACGAACTCGCTCGTCAGCCAGCCCTCACTCAGCCTGTCAACTTTGGTGACCGAATGTGACAGTACACACATACGCTACACACACCACACACGCTCCACGTAGATCTGCCTCCGCTACATAGTACACAGTAGACGGGCGGCGGTTGGGATTCTGACTGGGGAAGCGGCTCCAGCCCCAATCCATGCTCGTCTATCGCGACAACGCAGGTGGCATGCAGAGCATCTGGCAGGTCCCATCGCAGGTCCCATCGCAAGGTCCATGGCGGTGTCGAATGCAAACCCTGGCTGTCAGTGCCTGCAACAACAAGTGGAGACGGAGCTAATCAGCCGTCTTCGACCACAATGGGCCTTGACCCACATGGTAGTAGTCAAGGGTCTAGAAGCGACGCTTACCCGATTCGGAAGCACCTTCCTTCCCTTTTTCCCTCTTTTTCTTTTTTTCTTTTTCGCTTTTTCCACCTTTTCCCCCCTGTGGCCCTCCCTCTGTTCCCCTCTCTTCCGTTCCTCACTTCTCTGCCTCTATTTTTGGATCAACAGCCCCAAACCTGCAGAACACACCTACGACACCGCACAGCTACATCGCAAAGCCATTTGTACCTTGTCGCGAAAGCCTCAGTACAAAAACTAAAGCTGCTCCCCCCATTTGTTCCATTGCCGCCTGCGCCAGCTGTTTGGTCACGATCGCCACACTGTCGACGGCACTCCCTTCTCCCCGGACGGCTTGCACGTTCTCTAGCTCGGCCAGCCTCCCCCCACTGTCCTTCATCCAACTTCAAAAGAGCTAGCTCTTGCCCAGCTCGCCGGCGCAGGGTCCTGACTTGGATATTTCCTTTCTATTCTCTTCCTATATACCTGGCTGGCTCCCGATCCCCTTTGTTCATCCGCGCCCCGGTCAGCGCATCTCCGGAGTTGATCCCCAGCATCAATTACACGGTCGACGCCGTACACATACAAAGGCCCCCTCGACCACGCCCTCTCCATATAAAAGAGTCCCATCGCAGCCTTCGCCGCTGCTCTCCCCAGTCTTAGCCTCGCCAAAGGCACTTCAAAATGGGTCGTAGAAAGATCGAGATCAAGGCGATCAAGGATGACAGGAATCGCTCTGTGTAGGCGCATCCCCTCTCCCAAGCCAGCCGTCGGTGCGCTTCTCTGAGCTGACAATCATATCTTTCGCAGCACCTTTCTCAAGCGCAAGGGCGGTCTGTTCAAGAAGGCGCACGAGCTTTCTGTTCTCTGCTCAGTCGACGTTGCCGTTTTCATCTTCGGCACCAACAAGAAGCTTTACGAGTACTCGTCGGGTGATATGCGCGAGCTTATCACAAGATACACCTACGTGAGTCAACAAGATGCCACCGCAAGCGGCTTCACACCTCGTGCGCTGGAAGCTAATCCGAAATCTCGCGACAGCATGGCGGCGCAACAGAGCACAAGGGTCCTTCGGACTTCAATGGGGGCGCCGACGATGACGAGGACGAGGACGTCGACGGCACACCACCGCGCCAGGGCTCCATGGATGCGCACATGCTTCCGCCTCACTTCCAAAACCAGCAGCCGTTCCCTCAGCACATGAGGCACCACACTCCCTCAGCGTCGCCACCGATCCCCAACAGCATGCAGTTCACCTCTCACGGCCACGCAGTCCAGCGCCAACACACGCCCCAGCCTCAAATGGGATCCAGGCCGCCGTCCAGGGGCGACATGCGCCGCATGATGGGCAAGCCTGTCGGGCCTCCGCCTCCGCCAGGACAGCAGGTCAACGGTTTCGCCTTTGTCCCCCAGCCCGCAATCTACGGCCCTCCGAACCCAACGACCATGGCGCCGCACGTGCCGCCTCAGATGGCCCATGGGCCGCAATACCCTCCTTACCCCCAGCAGCCGCCGCAGCATGCGCACCAGCACCAGATGCATTATCTTGAGGACCAGAGGCGCGCCTCCATGCCGCCCAGCTTCCCTCCCCACGTCCAACAGCCTCCCCATGCTCCCATCCAAAGGCACTCGGTTTCTCCGCCCCAGGCGCATCCTCCGCAACTGCCGCAAATGCCACCCCAGCATGTCCCCCACACGTCGCCGCCTCCTCAGCATCTCGTACACAGCTCGCCTCAGCAAATGGTCAACAGCTCGCCCCAACAGCAGCACCTGCAACCCCAACAGCAACCCCAACAGCAGCAGCAGCAGCCGCACCAGCACACCAGCAGCTCACCGCAGCTTCCAATCATCCACGAGCCTCCGCCGCCCCAACCGCAGCCTCAGCAACAACAGCAACCGGACCAGGCGCGGTGCTTGCCTCCGCCCCCAGCCCCCATGGAGATCAAGACGGAACCCAGCACGCAGGAACGCGTCATTCCGCAGACATCCCTGCTGGACACGGGCGTGAAGAAGCTGCCTCGCCAGAAGCAGCACAGCATCTTTACGCCCATCGATGAGAACCGATCCATCCTGAGCCAGCACCTGGCAGCTTTCCACTCGGAGCCCGCAAAGACGGATAAGAGCCCACCATCTGTCGGCCGTTCTTCGTCCCTGGACGGAGCTGCGGGCCATGCTGTGCCAGCCAAGACCAATGGCACCACGTCGCCACCGCCTCCCAAGCGTGCCGAGACTTCACAGACTTTCCCCCGGGCTAGCCGCGCATCCATCTCATCGCTATCCGAGGCGGGCTTTACGCCTCCGTCGCGATCCAACAGCCTACGAGCCGGTGGACCGCGTCCGCGCCTCAAGGTGCAGATCCCGGATGAGCAGTCGGACGATGGAACGAGCGTGACGGCCGAGTCGGCCTCGTCGCCACGCGGAGGACACTCAACCGATGCGACGTCGCAATCAACACGTCAGAATGACACGCTCTCCAACTCGAGCATGGTCCTACCGCCTCCGTCTCCCTCTGCGTCGGCTCTGCTCTCAGCAGGGGCGACGGGCCCGCCGAACCCATTCGCGCGCAGGCCGCCGCAGCAGCTCCAGGCCGCCACGGGCATAAACATGGACACGCCCGTGTCAGCCCTGCCCTCGCGTTTCCTCAACACCGACTTCCTGCCTAGCCCTTCGAGCTTCTACCCCGAGTGGAACTTCCGAGGTGGCGACAACAACAACACGCTCCCCAGCCCGCTGAACTTTGCCACCCCGGTCGTCGGCAGCGGCCCTAGCTTTCTGAGGGACGACAATCACAACAGCAATAGCAGCACAAACCTCGCGGCAGTGGCAATCAACAACAACAAAAGGAAGAGCCCCGACCACCTGGCCACCCACCACGAACATGGCACGGGCGCCATGGATTCTACTGCCGCCAACGAACCCAAGAGGGTCAAGGTGGACTCTTAAAAGTCTTTGAGTCGATTCCCGTCCTTACAAAAATATGACTTCACTTCACCATGTATCATATTATGATTTGTATCTTTTTTCCTTTCTCTTTTCCTTTGGGTCGTTTTATTTATCATACATTCTTCTTCTGTTTTATCCTGGCTGGATATTACGGGGCAATGCAATCAGGCGACGACTTTTCTTTCCTTTTTTTTCTTTTCATTTTCATTCTTATCCGGAGCTGGGCCATTTTCCTCTACACTCACGGTTCCCACCTATTTCTTTATTTTGGAGGGTTTCAATTCTTCACCTCTTTTTCGTTAACTTCTTGGCGTTACAGCCTTGTCAGGTTGTTACATGGGCACACACTCTCGTTCACGGGCATAATTCTGTCTTGGCATGGCGTTAATGAATCTGGAATGGGCGCGTGGGACAATGTTTTGATGGAGCATATACGGAATGGGTCTTGGTGCGGTCTGGATTCCAAATCGTATAACATGACAAAATGGAATAAAAGATGCTCAGTTGTACATGATAGATCCCTGTGATTTATTTGCCTTTCTGGGAACCCGCTTTTCTGTCCAACGCTTGGGTATGATGTGACGATAACTGACTGGTGCAAGATAATTGCTGTGTCGGTAGGCGCGACTGCCGCACAACCTCTCTTGTTTGATCTTCACCCACCTCGGCTCAGCCGGCTCCCCACAGTATTCTAAATGGAAAAGACTGATGTGAACAGGGAAGAGAATAGCCACTCCCGCCCGCGAAATCTGCTCGGCCCCCCTGTCGGCTCGCCAAGGATGCTATGATCTGGCCGACAGGAAGCAAGGAGGGGGGATCCATTGCATGGGAGGCACATGGTACAAAACAGCCGACCCGCGAGGCAGCTAACGGGCTCCCAACAAGGGGGACGGGCGGCTATGCCAAACAGGCGAGCACGGATCTGATAGACGCCGTCCCCCTCCCCCCTACTGAGGCACCCACTGAAAACAAAAATCAAGACCTCAAAATGCAATTCCCCACTCAAGCTCTATAGCAAAAAAACATCAAAAAAACAAGGATCCCGGCAATTGCTAATTATTTTGATACCAATCCAATCCCTTACTGTAAAAACGATCTTTTAGTTGTTGGCTATTTCTTTTGGCGGTGTTGATTGACTTTGAAATGAGGGCCCCTTGTTTGCGGTCTTGATTTTTTTTTTTCAGTGGGTGCGAGGGACTTGGGGTGTGTGCTAGGTCCCCTCACGCGGCGCACGTCCGTCCGACGCCAGGGAGGTTATGGCATACATGACGGGGGAGGGGGAGTTCTGGGCTACGCCACCAGCAAGGTTCCAGACCCTTTTTGGGAAGCCCGCGGACGGCGGGATCAGAGAGCCCAGGCATGATGCCAGGGCGGATGCATCACATTATAGGGAGGTGATTGGGTAGGTAGGCAAGATAGCTACCTACCTAGGTGGGTAGGTGATTCGTTCTGCATTCCCGGGGGCCGTCGGTGCTCGGCAAAGGACTTTTTTCAATTTTTTTTCAATTTTTTTTTTCAATTCAAGTTTGTTGCGCCGGATCTATGGGGTTTTTCCCCCATCCCTTCCTAAATTTAGAAATAGGAATTGCCCGGCCCGCTGCAGCTAGCGGAAAGAAAGGTTTGTGGTGTGACCGACCATCAGTGCCCCATCGGACCCCGCCCGTGGCCAACCGTTCACATCACATCGCATGGCACCTCGTCGACAAAACCCCAGGCGCGTTCGGGCGCGTAGTTTTCCTTGTAGGAATTCGCGCAACACGTAATCATAAACACGCCCATCGTCAAACTCCCCGCGCCTTCCTATGTCGGTACAAACCATGAACCAAGGCCGCTGAGATAGGCTAGAGTTGCGGCGAAGCAGCGGCGTCCAAGGCAAGAAAATTGACTATCACCTTAACGCGTGGGCTCTATTCTTATTCCGTTTCCCATCCCCCAACCTCTCTATTATCCCGTTCCTTGGCCTCTTCGTGTTTATGTGTTGGAAAAGAAAATTCAAACAGGTAGAAGCACAGGAGGCGACAACTCGTATATGCATCTATTCGGGGCCCTCGCGCCTTCCTCGTGCCTCTTGGTTCTATCTCTTTCCCCCAAATAACCCACTCGTGCATCGTGCCTTCTCTCGGGCGTGCTTCGAACTGCAGAGGTGAAATGACGCGTGTGGCGCACGTAGCCTTGCTGGCTCTGCTGGCGCCTTACTGGTCTTGGGTGGGATTGAATGGGCGTCAAAGATGTGTATTGCACCGCCTCTCGTCGGTCCTCCAACCACCAATCTCGATGATCGTGGGAGGCAGGCCATCGCACCAATCATGCATCGCCCCGTGGAAAAGAGCACATCCGTTTGGGTATGGTGGCACGGCACGCCGCCACCTCCAGGCTGCGATGGGTCCTTGCCCGCCCTGATCAGAGTAGAAATCCGCTCAGACGAAGAATGGCTTCACTCTCTCTGTTTTCCCTCATTCCCATCGCCCCGCATCGGCTAGGAAATCCTACATCTTATCCGCCATGGACAACTTCCGGGGCAGCCCGCCTGGTTCGCCTGGTTCGCCTGGCCGATCGGCACCGGAGTCGTCAGCATCGCCACAGATCTCGAACTCGACAGAGATGCATGCATCGGAGGCGTGGAAGGCGATTGAACGGCTTCAACCGGATCTAGAGCGGGCTCTCGCAACGGGCAACGTCTCTCTGGAAAAAGAAGTTCAGTATCGGTTTTTGATCGCCGAGGGCTGCCTGGCGCTCGGCGCAGCGTCTCAGCAGATGGAAGAGAGCCGGCTCATGCTCGCGGCAGAGCATCTAGATGCTGTACTCCGGCACACGCCAGGCGATTTCAGTCAGCGACCAAAAGCTCTCTTGCTCTTCTGCCGCGTCGAGTTTGAGCGACATGTCCTCACAAACTCACGTCACTCGCTGAGCATGTCTGTCAAGCACGGTCGCGAGGCTCAGCGTGTTGCCGATACGCTACGGCTGCGCGAGCATGATGTAGCCTTGTATATTGACATACTGGTCGCGTTGGGTCATTCGCTGTCCCATCAGAACGTTCTCTGTGGCGACGCCGACGACCTGGACGAATCCATAGCGTGTCGGCGCCAGATCCTGGCCTGCGCGGCCGTGAATTCTGAGACGTACATGTTGGCCCTGAACAACCTCGCTTCCGTGCTGGATCGCCGCCACAGAGACGGCCGAGCCGATGAGGATTGGCAAGAAGCCGTGAGGCTGCTGCGTCAACTTGTCGCGTCGACGCCGCCGGATTCCGCACTACACCGGATAGGCATCACCCAGCTCGGTTTCTTACAAGAGCGCAGGTACCAGGAAACGAAGAGCCTCCAAGACCTGAACGAGGCCATGCGTCAACTCAAGATCTCTGAGTGCCTCTTGGATGATGGGCACATTAACGATGGAAGAGACAGTCTGCTTCAATATCTCGCTGCCCTACATCGGGACCGACACGTCCACACCGCCGATATCGATGATCTGCGCCAAGTCACACACTATTTGAACCTCCGCTTTCACTCGCTGTCGCCGGATCATGCGCTGAAACCCGATTGTCTCCATCAGCTCCTCCTCTCAGCCCATCTTTACATCTCTTCGAGTCACTCTCTGGAAGTATTCGAGGCCACCATGGCCGTGTGCAAGGAAGCCATGTCAACCATGCCAATCGCCTACCCGGGCCGCGAGGAAATAGGAGACACTTATACGAAGATGCTCGGGCGTCTGTACGCGGCGAGCGGGAAGCTCGAGCATCTAGATGAGCTCCTGGCCTGCGTCACCACCGCCGTTCACCGGTGGAGCGCAATGAGAGTCGCGGGTCACACTGAGCAGGACGTAACCGTACGAGGAGGCCACCTGAGCGTCAAAGGCTTGCTTGGCCTCGTGCGGCGTCTCAGGTGCACACCTCCCGACAGCCATGCGAGGCAGCTGGCAGAGGACGAAATTCATGGCGTCTTTCTGTCCACGGCCGACTACGTGGACCCGAAAGGCATTGGCTTCAGGCCGACATTCCTTTACCAGCTGATCACCTATCGCACGGTTATTCTGGTCTGCGCTGCCGAGGATGGTATCTCGCTCGACGAAGACCAGATTCGATTGCTACTAGACGCCCCAAATCAAGAATGGGAAGATAGAGGGGTGCCGGTCGCCCGTGAAGACTGGGAGAGAGAGGAACTACGGGACAAGCCTTTTGATGACAGGGACACTAGGGTTCGCAGGATTGCGAAGATGGCCCTGATACACACCCTGATGGGATACAAGTCCAACAGACCCGTATCGCGCGAGGAGTTCATCGCCCGAGAGCAGCGGCTGGAAGCCGAGGCGTTTGAGCAAGCAATGGACAAGGGCGGATTTCCGAACAGCAAGCTGTGCCGGTCCTGCCGAACATTTCTCAAGTTTTTGCACGTCACCGAAGCCGGATTCGAGTTTGACTCGGCTGGCTCGCTGCTCCCCTTGCTCGGCGACTGGCGAGTCCTCCTGTTCTGCCGAGATCACTGCGCCCTGTGCCGGTCCCTGGCATCGCTCCTGACGACGCCCCAGGGCGAGCTCGAGGTGGACCTGGGACAGACCGACGAACACGCCAGGGCGCTCACCGGCAGCTGCGGGAGGCTCCCCACCGGCGATAGCTTCCTGAGGGTCATGTACGGCGTCACCCCCGTGGGCGAGCTGGTGCTGGCGACCGAGGGGTCCTTCCGGCGCACGATGCGACAGGGATGGGAGGTTGCGGACGGCCTGCCGCTGCAGGAGGTTATGGCAGATCCGGACGGGCCCATATGCACCACAGAAGGAGGCCAGCTGGTGAATCCCCGGCAGCTTCAGACATGGCTCCGGGACTGTGACTACAACCACGGCCGGACCTGTAACCACCCCAGACCTGGGGAGCGAATCAGGATGGAAATACCGCTCATGTGTATCGACGTGGTGAAGGACTGTCTCGTCGACACCACCAGCAAGGAGCGGTACCTTGCCCTGAGCTACACGTGGGGCCAGGTTGACATGCACATGACACTTCGCAAGAATGTCGCCGAGCGTCGACGGCCGGGTGGGCTGGCGGCGGTACCGTTCCCGAGAACGATCAGAGACGCCATTCAGCTTGTTCGTCTGATGGGGGAAAGGCTCTTGTGGATCGATGCCGTCTGCATCGTGCAGGACGACCAGGATCAAAAGGCCAGGGACATACCCAGGATGGACGTGGTGTATGGCAACGCATTTGTGACGATTGCCGCCATGTATGGAGACTCGGCAGACGCGGGACTGCCGGGGGTCGTGCCAGGGAGCCGAACGCCGCAGAAGTCGGAGAGCTTCACAGTCACCCGGCGCAGTCCAGCTCTCGAGCATGACCCGTCATCGGACGAGAACGAAGATGCGCACATTGTGCAGACCCCGCGCCCCTTCTATTTGCAGCTCAAGCGGTCGACATGGAACACCCGGGGCTGGATTCTGCAAGAACACCTCTTGTCGAGGCGATGCTTCTTCTTCACCCAGGATGCCGTCTACTTCCAGTGCAGCAAGACGACGACTTCAGAGGGGGGCGTGGACCAGGACCTGGATGCGCACTTTCACGGAGATGCCGTGCCTTCCACTCTCAGGCAACACAACCACACCAACCCGCTGGCAACGATGCATTCTTGGCACGACCTCGGCACGCCGTTGATGATGCACCGCTCGCTCCGCGCATACATGGCCCTCGTGGGGTTGTACACGCGCCGCAAGTTTACGCATAAGTCAGACATCATCGACGGGTTCAGGGGCGTCCTGGCCGTCTTTGACGAGTACTGGTCAGGCTACAGCACTATCGACGCCACCGCGCTGCACGGGATTCCCCAAGCGGTCTTCCTGCACGCGCTCCTCTGGTCTCCGGCCGACCGCATCCCCCGGCGCGGCGCAAAAGTAATGACGTTGGACGATGCTAAATACGAGCCGGGGGACGTGGACCTCAGGTTCCCCAGCTGGTCGTGGGCTGGCTGGGACGGGCCCGTCGATTTCCGCCTGTTCGAGTGGCTCACGCGGCCGCACGAACAGCCCATCGCCCTCGCGAGATCGATCGAACTTGACGGACGCCAGGTGTTCCCATGCCCCGATGACCAGTCGCGCGTACCGACCACGGACCGGCCTAAGCCGACGGAAACCCAGGTGCAAACGCAAACATTTGCGACAGCCGACGCACAGGACAGAGAGGCGGACCATGCTACCCCGGACCCTGGAGCGTGTGATTCATCCGGGGCAAAAGCATCGGCTCTGGAAGATGGAGCAGGACAGGTAGATCAGAATGTAGTGGACGCCGAAAAAGAAGACGCCGAAAAAGAAGACGCCGAAAAAGAAGACGCCGAAAAAGAAGACGCCGAAAAAGAAGACGCCGAAAAAGAAGACGCCGAAAAAGAAGACGCCGAAAAAGAGGTCGCCAAAGAGGATGCCATCCGAAAGTCTAGCAAGGGCAAGGAAAAGGAGACCTTACCGGGAGACTGGGTCCGGAACCTGGCAAAAGACGCGAAGACGTGGTGCGACCCGGACACGGGCAAGACGTGGGTATTCGGTCCAGAAGCCACCCGACCCGGCGGACAGCACCGGCCCCCACCCGCGGCCAACGTCCTCGTAATGACCGCGCCAGTCGCCTCCCTGGAAAGCTTCACCGTGGACCCGCACAAGGAGTACTTTAGCCTGCCGGACCAGCCGCACGTCCGGGGCCCGCAGAGCGTGCGGCGGATCCGGGACCGGAACGGCGCGCACTGCGGGCTGTGGTGGCAGCAGTACCACTACCAGTGGGTCGGGACCGGTCTGTTTCGGGACACGGAGGGGGAGCTCAAGATGGTGGGCGTCTCTGCGTACCCCGTCGGCATCGAGCCGCGCCGGGGGTTCGGCCACGTCGGCGGGGCGATTTCGATATTTGACGACGAGGTCTTCACCAGGGGCAGCGTGCTGAAACAGGGGTTGGTGAACGTCCTGGTCATCGACGGGCGAGACGTCGCGCGGTTCGGGGCAGCGTGCCGCTGCACCGTGGCGCTGATCCATCCCCAGGCCTGGGAGGAGGCCGGCCCAACGGAGGAGGTCATACGCATCGCGTGACATGTGTTCGGCTGATAAGGGACCCTGTCGTTTGGGTTCGTCTCATTCTCTTCCTTTTCTTTCTTTCTCGGTTATGCTTCCGAACGCCAGCGGGGGGTACGACGTATGCGGTGCAAATAAACCTGCCGGCTTTCCGAAACACCCGTCGAGACGCCGTCTCGGCGAATCAAGCCCAGCCGGCCGCTCGCCTCTCGCCGACCCCTCTAGTCAGATCTAGTTCGGGCGGTAGTTTGTTCCCGGATGCCCCATGTGCCAGGGTCACCATGGGTCGGCACTCCCGCGTGCTATCAGTCTTGAAGGGAGAGACTGAATGCATCTTTGAAATGGGGACATGCCTGCTAGCGCGGGATGGTTTTTGCACATCTAGACTCGCAGCCTTGAGTGTAGTCATGTGAGGAGAGACGAAAGCTCGCGTTGGCTTTTGTATTATGGCCCACCTGCTTTGCTCACATGGGGAATCCAACTTTAGGCGCCTATGGGAGGAGGTACTGAGGCAGTGGGTGCCTCGTGTATACTGAGCCAAAGTGATATTACACCTATATTAACCACGTGCCTCACCACTCGCCAACCTCGCCCGCCTTGGGCTTCTGCATCCGCACAATCTTGTCGCAGTTGAGCAGGCAGAGCGGGTCAAATGCCAGCTTCATCTTGCGCATCAGATCGACGGCGGACTCGCCGAGCTCGTGGGGGAGGTAGTCCCTCTTGACCAGTCCGACGCCGTGTTCGCCCTGTTTGGCGGGGAGGGTGAGAAAACGTGTGTTACGTTCGAAACATTTACTAGAAGGAAAAAAAAAAGTCGAGGCAAATTCTTACAGTCACAGTGCCTTCCATCTCGATGGCCCTCTTCACCATCCGGTGCTCAAAGTCGACGGCAGCCTGTCTTTGCTGATCGTTGTAGACGAGGATTGCTGTTTGTTTCGGGGGTTCGGTTGGGGTTAGCTGGAAGGGCTTTTGCGCCACATTGGACGGGGGGAGTGAAAACTTGGTATACTGACTATGAAAGTTGCCGTCGCCCGCGTGGCCGACAATGGTGCCAAACAGGCCGCTCTCCTTCATGTCGCGCTTGGTCTCCTCGATGATGTCGGGCAGGCGCGAGATGGGCACGGCCACGTCGCTGGTCCAGATGTGGTCGCCGTCCTTCTTGACGGCGGCGGTGCTCCAGAGGGCCTCCTTGCGGGCGCTCCACAGCTCGGCCTGCTCGTCGGCGTTCTTTGCAAAGTCGAAGCTGGTGGATCCCGTGCCCTTTGCCATGGTCTGGACCAGGGCCACCTGCTCCTTGACGGCGGCCGGGGTGCCGGCGAACTTGAAGAAGAGCGTGGGGGCCTCCTTCCAGTGGCGCGTCGTCATGCCGGCCTCGTTGATGCAGCGCATCTGGGCGTCGTCGAGGATCTCGACGGCGGCGACCTGGACGCCGGCGCCCACGACCGCGGCCACGCAGTCGGCGGCGCGGCGGATGCTGGGGAAGGTGGTGACGGCGACCGAGGTGGAGGCGGGCTTGACGGCCAGGCGCAGCGTGGCCTCGGTCACCAGGCCCAGGGTGCCCTCGGAGCCGACGAAGAGGCGCGTGAGGTCGTAGCCGGCCGAGCTCTTGCGGGGCCGCTGGCGCGTCTTGACGACGGTGCCGTCGGCCAGCACGACCGTCAGCGACAGCACCCAGTCCTTCATGGTGCCGTAGCGGTAGGCGTTTGTGCCGCTGCAGCCGGTGCCGATCATGCCGCCGATCATGGCGCCCGGGCCCGGGTCGGGCGGGAAGAAGAGCCCGTGCTCGGCCAGGGCGTCGTTGAGCGCCTCCCAGCCCAGGCCCGGCTGCACGATGGCGTCGAGGTCGGCCTTGTTGATGGACACGACGCGGCCCATGCGGCCAAAGTCGACGACGACGCCGCCGCGCGTCGGCGAGAAGTGGCCCTCGAGCGAGGTGCCGCCGCTATAGCCCGTGACGGGGATGCGGCGCGAGTGCAGCACCTTCATGATGCGCGAGACCTCGTCCGTCGTGCGCGGCCACACGACGCAAAAGGGCCGCTCGTCGGGCTGGCGCGGGTGTGACGACCACGACGAGCCCGAGTGGCTGTCGAGGGCCGAGTCCGAGGTGCTCATGTTCTCCTTGCCCACGATGGCCACGAGGTCCGCCCAGGCCGCCTGCAGCTCGTCCTGGCTGACCTGCCTGAGCTGCGGCGCCCCGCTGAGCGGCACCGTCGAGGCTGGGTCGGGGTCGTGAGGCAGCTTGGTGCCCATGTAGTAGGCAACGGCCGAGGCGAAGAGGATTACTGGGGGTGGAGCGTTAGTCTTTGCTTTTCCTTCTCCCCGCGCGGCGACGGCGACTGACCAAACGACGTGGCGGCGTTGCGTGCGGGGGCGCTCGTCTGGCGCTCGCGCTCCATGCGCTCCCTGTCGGCCTTCTCCTTGGCCAGGCGCTGCGTGATGCCCTGCATCATCTGGCCCTTGAAGGTTGGCTTGCCGTTGTCGGTCGACGAGAGGCGGGCGCCGGCCGGGGCTTGCGCGATGCTACCAGAACTGGAGCTAGAGCTGCTAGAGCTGCTACCCCCACGGCCCAGCGCGACTGAGCAGCGACGGGCGCTCATGTTTGCGGCCAGGGCCTTGTGCCCTTTTGCGCCGAGCTGCGCCATTGTCGGCGCTGGTCTAACCCCAAGTATGGATATGTTGGAGGTAGGGAATATGTGCTGGAGAGGTGGTTGCCAGGTGGTCAGGCATACAGAAAAACGGGATACTAGGGACGCATGGAGTACGTGAGGGGAAGCTGGAGGGTTCAAGCAGGCTAAGTATGTCGTGTTAGGCAGCGCCGATGAGGGATCAAAGCGTGGGGGCCAATTCTCGAGCTGCAGCTCGGCGGCGCAAAAATTGAATCAGAACGAACACACTGACACTTGCCCCACTTCGACTGCTGTGCTGTGTACCCCAACCAACTGCAAGTGCCAACGCCCTGGCCCGGCTCCTCGGGCGGACAGGCGGGTCCGGCAAGAGCGGTTGCTTTGTCCCAGCAGAATTGACGGCAACACTCGGCCTTCGGAGTTGCCTGATATGGACGCTGCGGCATTTTGAAGATAGACCACCTACCACCTAGATAGTACCTACCACCTAGTACCTACCACCTAGTACCTACAAAATACCATCTATGCAACCCCATACTGCAGCAGCACGTTGAATCGAGGCGCGCCGCCCACAGTGTCCACGTGCTGCAGGTACGCCGCGAGCTCGCGCTCGTCGTTGATCTGGAGCGGCATGTCGTCGAGCGTCTTGGAGTCCTTGACCAGGCCCTCCACCATGACGCAGACGACCCCCGGCACGAACTTCTCCACCGCCCCTGCCTTGAGCTCCTCCAAAAGTGACAGCCCCCCGGGCCGCGACGGCGACGAGGCCCCGCCGCCGATGGTCGCCACCCAGAGCTCCTGGAAGTCGCCCATGATTGACGACCGCGGGTGTAGCTGGAGGAAGACGGCTAGGCTTGGGTGTTGTTGTTCGTGGTGGCTTTGGTGATGATGGTGATGATGGAGGAGGTGATGTTGCTGAACGTCGTGTTGGTGCGGCTGCTGCTGCTGCTGGAGGTTGTGCTGTTGCTCGTGCTGGCCAAACACGGCGGCTTGGTGGTGGTGGTGCTGCAGTTCCTCAAGGTATTGTTGCTGGTTCACAAAGGCTGCCGCCTGCGCATCCGCTGCGAGCAGGAGCGACGGGCCCATGTGCGCCTCAAGAGACAGACCCCCCGGAGCGACCATGACCGACGTGTCGTCATCGAGCCCGTGCCCGTGCTGGGAGGCGCCATGGTGCATTTGCTGCGGCAGCTGGTCCTGCACTTGCACCTGCTCAGACCGAGGTGCCATCTGGAGCGCCACCCCCATGTGCTGCATCTGCAAGTGCGCCGCCGGCGTGCTGGGCACCACCAGCGAAAGACCAGTCCCGTAGCCGTTGCCATCGCTACTGCCGTCGAGCCCGTCGCCAATATCAGTGCCCACAATCTCTGGGTCTAGAATGGTCGCCTCGCCCTCCATGGACAGCTGTTGGGGCAGTGGCGGCGTCTCGGTGCTGGCGCTGGCGCTGCCCGTCCTCCTGTTCCGCCGCCTGGTCATGTCATCCCTGAACCTCTTCATAATGTCCCTGGCCATGAACTCAACCGCCCGCAGCTTTTCGGCCCGTAGCCTGCGATGCTCCTCGTCCGTCTTGCCCACTTCGTCGACCGCCACTGCGCCGCCAGCCCCAGGTGTGTCCATCTTGGCGGGAAAACAAAGCGCCTCGCGGAGCTCGGGTGACTCGTCCTGCCACCGTCGCTTGAGCTCCTCCCAGCGTTCGCTCCCAACTTCGAGCTTGGTAGTGAACCGTTCCTCGGCCAAGATGCGGCCTAAGACAAGCCGCATACGCCGTGCCTGGTCCGGGTTGACGCCGAGAGTATTTTTCACCTCGGCTAGCGTCGGCCGCCGTCCCGACGGTCCGGTCCCCTCGGATGCGCGGAGCCGCTTGGTCACGTCGGTGCAGATGACGTCGAGGGCCAGCGCCATCCTATTTTGACATTCCCGCTGCTTCTTTCGCCCGACACCTCCTCCCCCTGCTCCACCATAGCCATGGTCGTCCTGGGCGTCTGCATCTGGGGCCTCGCCCTTTGCGGGGTCCTCCATGGCGTTGCGCAGGTGCGGCGTCTCGCGTACCAGGCGGGCCTTGGCCTCCTCCCAGGCAGCCTGGCCGGCCGCCGTCTTGCGCAGCAGACCCTCGGCCTCGCAGATGAGCTGGAAGTCCCGGCGCACCCGGCTGTACGTCTCGGCGTCCAGGCCGAGCAGAGCCTTGCTCTCCGTCAGCGTCGTCTCGGACGGAAACCGCGGCGGGCAGCCGGCCGGGTCCGCGGGGAGGCCCGCCCAGTCGCGGGTCCGCCGTCGCCGTTTGCGCGACTCCCACCGTTCCGCCGACTCGGCCTCGAGCTGCTTCCGTCGCCGCCCGCGCCTGGTCGCAGCCTCTCCAGCCGTCTGTAGCGCCACGGCGACGGCGGCTTCGGTCAAGTCCCCATCAAGACCGGCGTTGCCCTCTCCCAGGCCAGTGACGTCATTGTCACCATTGCTGCTACTGCCATCATTCCCGCCGTCGTCGTCCTCGTCCTGGTTCGCAATGTCTTCACGGCCATGAGCCAAGAGCGAGTCTATGATCAGCTCGGTAGCCGTGTCGTCGCTCTTGGCCGCCTGCGACAGAGACGGATCGGCTCCCGGGGCGCTGGTGCCGTCGTCGCTCCCTCCTCCGAGATCCCCTGCCCTTGGCAGGCGGAGCAGCCAGCGGTGGTGTGTGCGGAGGCGAACCAGCTGGCGGGCGCTGACGTCGAAGCCCTCACCGCGCAGCACGGCCAGCATCTCGCGCTGGGCGTGGTTCGCCTCCCAGAGCTGGCGGACCCGCTCGACCAGCGTGTGGTTCTTGTGGGCGCCGACCTGCTTGCTGGGGAACTCCCATTTTCGTATCTGCTGCTGGAATGCTCGCTTGCTATAGGTGCGGTTTGGTTCGAAGCGTCAGGTCAGGGGGTCGTTTCTTGCCGCGCGATGCCAAGCCAGAGGTTGGACCTTTTGGGCTGTTCTGCTCCAAATGCCGGCTCAGTTCTCGACCGACGGGTGTGGGTGTGGGGGGCGGCCAAGGGCAGCCCTTGGCGGCGGCGACGCATGCACGGCAAGGGCCCGACATGACCGGAAAGCAGACCAAAGCAGCAGGCCGGGGCTGGAGGGTCGGGGCGGGCAAGCAAACGTACCTCGGGGTAAATCCATGGTGGAGCTTCATGTACTCCATCAACTCGTCCATGGACCTGCGCTCCTCCACGTACACACGGTAGCATGTTTCACGGTGGACGTCCCAATCGTAGCCCATGGTTGCCCCATCCTCGTCGCCTGGGCTGGGCTGCTCAGGCCTGTGCGTTGCGCTGTCTTTCTGGCAGTCGGTCTGGCTGGTTGGCTGCTTGTTTGGCTGGGCCGACCCTGGCGGTTACTTGCTGTTGCTGCTGTGGGCTGGGGTTGTCGGAATTGCACACCGTGGCTCGTTTCGTAGAGCCGAAGAGAACTGGTCTAGGCTGGTTCGCTTGTTTGGTGTGCTGACATAATGTGATTATTGAATCCCTGTCTATCCGAATTTCCCCTGATTTTTATCACGAGTCACCACACCTGTTGTACACACAACCCTCGCGTCTCAACCTATCTACCACTCGTCTCAGTGATCCCCTCCTGCTGCTGCCGCTGTGTCTGCAACACCGGGGTAATAAAACGCCACGACGGCAATGATGACATAGGCAGCAAGCAGCAGCGCCCCCTCGAGATAGTTGCTTCGCCCATCCAGGACCAGAAAGTTGGCGATAAAGGCGGCCAGAAATAGGCAGACCGTCTCAAACAGCGTGAAGCGCAAAGTCATGCCCCTGTCCAGAGCCCACCCCAGCATCACAATGAACGGCGTGACGAAAAGCGCGATCTGGATCGAGCTCCCGATCTGCGAGGCGCGCGTCAGCCAAATGTCACGAAAGCGTCAGGGAACACCGCCCAGGTAGACCAAACTCACAGAAACAGCTATTGCCAGGTCGAGCTTGTTCTTGAGCGCCACCGTTATGGCCGTCACGTGCTCGGCCGCGTTGCCCACGATTGTCAGTACGATGAGCCCGATGAACGCCTCGCCTAGTGGCGATGACGGTATCGCTAGCATGTCCGAGATGGCGCCGACCATCAGCTCCGCACAAAAGGCCACAAGCCCCGTCGAGACGAGGAGCAGGAGTGTGGCTGCCCGGGTCGAGAGCTGATGGCCTTCGTCCGCCAACAAAGGGCCGACCTCCACACAGCCAGTCGGGCCTGCGCCGCCGCCGCCAGGCTGTCCGGATCCCTCGCGTGCGGCAGCTCCCGCGGTCTGGGATTGGCAGCCATTCGCGTGCAGCTTCCCACACGATCCGCAGTATGTCTGGCTCAACCGGCCCGGCAGAGAGGCGGTGCGTCGGACGCCGACACGGACGGTGGGCCTGCTGCTGGCTGTTTGCTGGTCCAAGAACATGCCCGACGTCAGGCTGCGGCTGGGCGTGTCCCGCAGCCTTGACCTCGGTCTGGGAGCTGAGACTGTCCGGAAAAGCCCGCCGCCACCCGCGCTAGCTTTGGGGTGAGGACGCCTCGCAGAGTTGGCCCGCTGCTGCATGCCTAGCTCAGCCGCCTCGGAACCTGCCACATCCTGGGCGTCACTGAAGACAATGGTTCTCTGCCCAGATGCAGGTCCGAGCCCCTGCCTGCTCTTGCGACGTCTTTGTAGCCGTGTGATGGGCTCCCGCTCGGCCAACGGCCACTGCCTCGAAGAACCGGGCAGTGTGCCAGATGTGGTCGGGCGCTATACACCGATCCTGCTCGCGCTCGCTGGCGTAGAGCCAACTGACGTAGTGCTGGCCTTGCGCTTGCGGCCGACCAAACGCATCAGAACCCTCTTGGACCTGGCCTTGCGGGAGTGTACAGACTCGGTGGCAATGAAGCTATAGTCGGATGCCCAGTCCCCTGAGTTCCGATCCGAGGACTCGTGGAGAAAGGCCGCGACTAGTCGGGGCTGTGCCTCTTGATCAGCCATTGCCTGTGGCAGCGATTTATATAAATAGGCGTGCGTTTTGAGTTGGAAAACGAGGTACAATATATACACCGCCAGGAGTACCTTTCCCAGTACAGCAAACGTTAGCCAGACCAAGCCGATTCGTGCCTCTGGGGTTATAGGGCCCCAGGCGGGGGTGATAGACTTACTATACTCGTGATGCGGCTGATCTTTAGATCTTGCTTCGTAGCCAGTGTGTTGTCTTGAAACGATGCGTGAAATGCCGTCTTGTGCCTCAGGTCAGTCGAAAAAGGAGCTCAACCTAGTCGGCGACACAAGGCGCCGTAAGAATGATGCCCTTACCGGGAGAACGAGACTGATCACACTGAGACTCAAGAGGCAAGCCATGGTTTGTGTGACGGTAGGGTTGTAGATCTAGATCGAGTTGCATGTCACAAAGTTGGTTACATCCAGGTTAAATGCATATCTCGCTGGGGCAATGAAGGAATGCAAATCTGAAGACTAAACACGCACCTGCTCTCTAAAGCGCAGTCCGCCCAGAAGAAAGCACATGCCAAGGATCAGCAGCAAGTTGGCAAGTATGGAGCCCGGCAGTGATGCCTGCACGATCCTGATTTCGTTCTTGACGAGGGCGATGACGAAGATGATGAGCTCGACCGCGTTGCCAAACGTGACGTTCATGAGGGCACCAACGGCGGGCCCCCGGCGCGCGGCCATGGTCTCTGTAGCGAAGCTCAGAAGGTTCGCCAGCGGTATGATGGCCACCGAGTTCATGCTGAAAACGAGGCCGGGCCCCACGGCAGCCCCCGAGCTCCGTGCGCTGCCGACCGCGATGCCGACGGGGACGAAAACGAGGAGCACATTGACGTAGCTGGACACCATTATGACCCTGAGCGTGGAGAGAAGCCTGACGATAAAGCCGTTGGGGATCGCCCTTGCGGCTTGGACGTTATTTACGCTCGACCCTGGCGGTTCCGTGGCTTCCTTGGCCGCCTCATCTCGGGGATGGCCATCAGAAGGAAGAGGCAAGCTGGCATATTCACTATCGCCAGTAGCCAACTGTGCTTGTGGTGTGGTGTTATTGAGAGTAGGAACATGATCGGGATGGCCGTCATAATCACTGGAGATGCGGGGACCTTGAAAAGATGTCCGAGATCTTGATACCGGCGGTGAGATCGCACGCGCGTGTTTTGAGTCCGCCGATGGGCTAGCTAGATGTCCCTTCATCGGTTAGGTGTTTACGAGCCGCTTGGGTGTGTGCGAACTTGTCTTGGAACCAGACAGAAAGATAGACGGTGTAGTGTTAGTGTTGGGGAACTTCAAACAACAGAGCTGTAGCGTGTCGGGAATCGGACTTTGGGGTCCGAAAAAATGAAAGAGGTCCAAGAGGCGGGCTTGAGTATAAACGAATGGGCCGTGGCTGGTGGGAAGGTAGGTAGGAATATTCGGTCCTCCGCCGTCCAAACATTGCTTCGCGTGCTTCGGCTGGAAAGCCCCATCCTCAACGCTACGCGATTTGCTTCGCGGTCGATGGAAGGCCGGCTATGATGTCTAACGGGATTGCTCGAACCCAGCCTCGTCGAAAAGTAAGCCACTGCAGCCACTGTCATGCGAAACCTAGCACGTCCCGTCCATCAGTTCCTACATACCTACAGAGAGGGGCGGCTCGAAGCCCGTCATGCTATTCTGGCGAGAAGATAGGAGCCGCATTCGAGGTGGTGAGGAATGAGGTGCTGTACCGGATATCAGACCAGCTGAGAAACATCAGCCTGTGCGGATTTTAACTTTTGCCCTGACATGTTTTTCTTTTTCTTTTGGGTCGAGTGCCCCGAGAACGAACGTCTGATCACAAATATGTGATACAGAAACGACATCTGATGCACTCATCACTCATGGTGCGTGGGTGGGGAGTAGATGTTGGGAGGAAAGGTGATGGTTGACGAGGGGGTTGATAGCCGTCGACTCGGATCAGATACCAAACTAGAAGGAAGCAACGAGCCACAGGATAACTTTGAATTGAATATTTATCGACCGGTTCCGGGCTTGCAAGGCCAGAAAATCGCAAGGTAGATAGCATCATGGTCAAGGTTTGCGAGTGAGAGGTTGCCAGTGCTTCCGCAAGTATCCAGCGACAGACCTTGATGGCCAAAGCTACCTTTGAACTGACTCTATGGCCTGTTTCGCTCTCAGGGATTTGTCGCGGGTCGAAGTATCAGTCGTCTCCTCGGCTCATCCTGGAGTTATGATATGCGCCCGAAGTCCAGAGCGATATCTCCATGGCTTGACACGACACGAGGGCAGACAGCTCAGGGGTGAGCAAGGCCTCAGATATTCATGTACTTGGTGTGGCTCCCTGTCGCGACCACAGGGCCTTTCTCACCCGGAGCGGGCCCAGTCTTCCTAATTTCGACTTGGGTAAAGGCCAGGTTCCTCCCAACCTTGCTGACCCAGCTCTCGATCTCGAGAGTGTCGCCCTCTTTGGCAGCGCCGACGTAGCTCACGTGGATGTCGGCGCTGACACCGGTGCGGTCCAGTCCTTTGGCGGCGGCGATGGACATGCCGCCCGCCCAGTCGACTAGGGCGGCAGAGACGGATCCGTGTAGGATGCCTTTGCTATTGATGTGCTGTTTTTCCAAAGGCAGGTGGGAAACCACGCGACCTGATCCGCTGGCGGCCGAGACGATGGTGATGCGCGGGAAGAAGAAGCCGTAAACGGGCGAGTTGGACTCTATTGACTGCCAGTGCTTGCGCACGTGGGCCAGCGTGTCTTGGTGTGCAGTCTCTGTCTCGGCCATGGTGGAGAGAACAGGGCGGAAGAGAGATTGATTGATGAGCAGAATGTCTGAATTGTCTAGACCCGATCACTCCAGCTGCCAATGTGTGGTGTTTTCTATCGGCAACGGAATCGACGTGCTATTCGAACAGTTTTTGTTGGGGGTGGGACTTGGTGGACAGATGGATCGCGGCTTCCACCGCAAACGACCGCTAAATTGCTCCAATTATTAGCGGTTCGTAGCCGCCTAGAAACACTGGAGTGACCCCACCAGACTGAATTTAGTGAATTTAGCAGCTTCACCTCACTCAGTCATGAGCCTTGAATTTTCATGACAGCAAAGACGCCATCTCAGAGTCTGGAGACACACGAACTGGCCATGAACATTGAAAGACGGTCGCCGAGGCCGTTTTCCTTTCGCCCCCCACTGGCACCATGATTCGCCGCGCGGCCGCCGCTGTCGCTGGTGCCCGCGTCAGGCAACCTCGGAGGCCGCGAGCGCTGCCGCTTGAGCCGTTGATACACCCCAAGGAACCAGACGGTCCGCTGCCGGGGCCTCCCCCAGAGCGCCGCCCGCAGGAGCTGGAGAACCCGCTGCAGACGAAGACGCTGCCCGAAAACTACCAGACCGCACTCCAACTGCTCTCGCTCATCCCCACCAACCAGGCCGTCCGTTCCCAGTTTGGCGCCGAGGCCGAGGCCGAGGCCGAGGCCGGCGGCGGCGGAGAGGGCGAGCGGCGACGGCTCAACAGCGGCTCGGTCGAGGAGATGCGCGAGCTTCTCAAGCGTGCCGGACTGACGCGCCAGGGGGCCAGCCCTCGGCTCCGCTGCATCCACATTGCCGGCTCCAAGGGCAAAGGCACTGTGGCCGCCATGACCACGGCCCTCTTGCTCAGGGGCGGCCCCTACGAGGGCGTCGGGGACCCGGGCCCCGTTGGCACCTACACGAGCCCGCACGTGGCCTCGGTCCGCGAGCGCATCATGCTCGACGGCGAGCCCGTGTCCGAGGAGCTCTTCGCCCGCCGCTTCTTTGAGCTTTGGCGGCAGCTGCGCCAGACGGAGCCCGACCAGTTTCTCCGCTACGACTTGGGCGCGGAGAGGGGCATCCGGGCGAGCGGGCGCTGGCCGCTCGTCGAGCACACTGAGATCGTTGCCGCCGGGCGCATGCCCTTCTTCTTCCGCTTCATGACCCTGCTCGCCTTCCGCGTATTCCGAGGCGCCAACGTGCGCACTGCCGTCGTCGAGTGCGGCATCGGCGGCGAGTACGACTCGACCAACTTCCTTGGTAGCGAGCACGTCACCGTCGCCGTTGTGACCTCGATCGAAGTCGAACATGCCGAAATGCTGGGCGACACGCGCGGCTCCATCGCCTGGCACAAAGCAGGCATCTTCAAGCCGGGCGTCGCTGCCGTTGTCGTCCGGCCGCACCTGTCTTACGGCGCCTTCGAGTTCATGTGGTGGATGAACCACAGCGACTCGCCCGACGCGCAGGGCGCCCCCAGACTGCCAGCGCTCCGCCCCGACGACGAGGCGCTCTTGAAGAAGAGGCTGGAGCTGGGGCTGCCGATACGCAACGACCCCGCCGATGCGAGCGGCGCCAATGCCGTCATGGCCGTGTTCTGGGCTCGCGCTCTACGCAACAGGGTCGAGATGATGATAGACGTGCCCGAGAACGTTGGAGAATGTGTCCCCTCTGTCCGCGCGCAGCAGTTGCTCGGCCAGGCTATCCTGCGACGACCCTATGCCATGCTAAACATGTCGTTGGCCGTCAGCGCCGTCAAGCAGCACATCCGTAAGCTGAGGGAGGAGGAGGCACTGGGCCACAGGCCTAGAGTCAGGGCCATCAAGCCCCACGAGGCACCCGTCGACCTGGCCAATCGCTTTTCTATGTTTCCTCGCAAGTCTACCGGCCGCTGGGAAGAGATTGTAGGGCCAGAACACATGAAGGCCATGCGTGGGGTCGCGCCCCGTGGCCGCGGCGAGGTCGTTCCCATCGAGATCCCCGACGAGATACACGCCCGGCCGTTCACGCCGCCGGTAATGAGGAAGGTCTACTACTACCTGGATGGGGCACACACCCACGACAGCCTCACGGCCACCGCCCACTGGTTCGTGGCGTGCGTGCAAGAAGCGATGGCGTCCGACGCGAGCCGAGGGGCCCCGCTCCCGGCCGTCGTCGTCATGTTCAACCAGCAGGAACGCAGCCACGCGCTGGAGCTGCTGGAGGCGGTCCTCACTCAGCTGCGCCTGGCGGGCATGCGCTGCGACCTCGTCGTGCTCACGCGGAACGAGCCCTACGGCGAACTGGACACGGAGAAGGACCTGACGGTACAGATGCGCATGGGGCAAGTGGCGAACGGCGCCGGCCACAGGACTGCCGTCTTTGAAAACGTCGGCGCGGCCAAGGCGGAGTGCGAGAGGCTCGGCGCTGCGCCCCAGGAGCCTCCAGATTCCAAGTCTCGATCCGTCCACGTCCTGGTCACGGGCAGCTTCAACCTTGTCAAGGGCTTCTTGGTGCTACACGAGGGAGGGAACGACGTGCAACAGCGCAGGGCCTGGAAGTCGCAAGTGTAAATGTATACGGGGTGTTTGCGGGAAGGGCGCATCGACGGAGGCAACAGCGAGGCGTATGGATCAAGTCTATAAACACGACTTTACTTGGGTATCATCTGGATTTCTATGATTTGTCTCACTTCTTGGACTCTGAATTATACCCATCAAAGGGTTTCCGCCTTCTCCAATATCCCAAGGACTCCTCCTACCAAATGGACACTGCCCGTGACCAGCACTTGAACAGGTGCTCTCTTTTCACATGCAGGGTCACTGTCTCCCTTGGGGCTTTGTAGGGGCGGGGCGGCTTTGCGCACCTGTTCTATGGCCTCGTGTATGGTTCCCACCACCGAGACTGTCGACGTCGGGTCCAGCCGGGCCCATTCGGTTGCGAATGCCCGCTGGATTGTGAGTTTGTCCACCTCTGTAGCATCGACTGTGTGGTTGATTGATTCTGCAGGAGAGAATTGTGTTAGGAATGCATATGGGCACGGAGGAAGTGGACGGTGTATGGAATCCAAACTCACCTCGCTTGAAATCCGTGCTAGGGTGCGTCCTGTTGGAGCAGAATATCACCTGGTCAAACCCCCTGCCATCCCTGGACTTGACGGCGTGGGAAAGCCCAGCGAGGAACTCGTGCGCCTGCGCCCTGGCCTGCTGGTTGAAGATGAGAAGGCGAGGCCCGGGGCTGTGTGCCGGATTGGTCAGTTGTCCCGAGGTGCGTAAGATGCTTAGGCAGGGGGCAGGAGAAGGCAAAGAGAGACATACCGATTCTCAACCTCGGTGGCAAACCATCCCCCAGCGAGAGCCAGGCTGTCAAGCGTATGCGCGCCATCCAAATGCCAGCGGACGCCCTCCTCCCGCTTCACTTCGCACCGCCCACGCCAGACCACCTTTTCGATACCGTCGACAAACTCCCTAGGCAGGGCCGCCCCGGCGTCTCCCAGTGATTCCCTCTCCCAGAAGCCCGGGTCCAGCCGCCGCATGGCCTCCCCGGCCAGGGCGATGGCCAGCGTCGCGTTGCTGTGCTGGAAGGCGGCGGGCGGGCGAACATCAACGGCAGCGAGGCGGGGGTCCGGGTCCAGGATCTCAAAGCTGGAGACGCGCCTCTCGGCGGCGCGGCGGCGCAGGACGTCCTCGGCCGCGGCCGCGGCGCCATCGTGTGGCGGCTGCTGGGCGGTCGCAGCGAAGGCGGGCGCGCCGGGCTTGAAGATGCCGGCCTTGTGCCAGGCGATCTCGGCGACGGTGCCGCCGAGCCGGTCGACGTGGTCGACGCCCAGGGCGGTGACGGCGGTGGCGCAGGGCCGCTCGACCGCGTTGGTGGCGTCGTACTCGCCGCCGATGCCCGTCTCGTACACGGCCACGTCGACGCCCTCGGCCAGGAAGAGGTGCCAGCTCATGAGGGTCAGGAACCGCCCGTACACGGGCTTGCCGGCGTAGCTGCCCGCGCTCCAGCTCGCCGGGTCCCGGCGCCGGTCCTCTTCCGTCTTGGTAGCTGCGGCGGTGGCGGCGACGGAGCAAGGGGGAGATGGCGAGGGCGACGGGTGGCGCTCCAGCATGTCCCAGACGTCAAAGAAGCAGCGGGCAAAGGCCTCCTCGGAGACAGGGACCGAGTTGATCTTGAGCCGCTCGCGGACCGACACCAGGTGCGGCGACGTGTGCAGGCCGACCTTGGCCGGGACGCCGCGGGAGAGGCGGCACTGGTTCAGGATGGAGTCGGTAAAGGCGCAGGTGGTGCCCTTGCCCTTGGTGCCGGCGACGTGCAGTATGTTGAGGCGGTCCAGGTCCCGCGGCGAGTGGCCGATGCGGCCCAAACACTCCCTCATCTCGGTCAGGGACGCCGCCTGCTCGAGCGTGCCGGCCCTGGCGCGGGCCTGGGCCACGGCGAAGGGCGTCTGCAGCGTGTTGAGCAGGTCGATGGCATCCTGTGGTGTTGTTAGTCACCTTCTCAGACAGGCCCTGTTATCTATGGTGCGCTTACATTGTACGTCCTACCGATCCTGATGGAAGAAGCAACTGCAGTAAAGCGCCTCATTGAGAACCCGGGGACAAGAAAAAAAGAAAGAAAAAAGCTCCCGCCAGGTTTAAGTGGGCGACAGGCCGACTGTGCAATACGAATGGACGCCCGGTTCATACGAGGAACAGCTCTTTGAATTATTGACGAGATGGAGTTCGAGTGTAATGCTGGAGAGGTTGGTGAGCTTGAGGTGGCACAAGGTTTCTGGGAGGCTGCGCCCACTGCAGAGTCCAGATCCACCCACCACACGCACTGGAATAGCACTGCCGCAAAAAAGAGGCCGTCGCGATGCTCACACTGACGTGGCGAATTCGACAGCAAATCCAAAGGGAGGGGACGCTTGCAGGTGAACGAGCTGGTATAACAACTACAGCAAAACAAATCACCATCTTTGCATAACTTATCGCAGGGCTGTTCCCTTCCCTTTTGAGCTTGCGCACCGCACTCGGCATCCATCAATCAACACGGGTCAGATGGCCGAGCGGTCTAAGGCGCTAGCTTCAGGAAGGTCTTCGGATCGGATTGACTTGCTAGTCATGAAAATGGCGTGGGTTCGAATCCCACTCTGATCATTCTTTTTGCCCATCTCGACGTTTCGCTGGCCTGATTGTTCCCATTACGGATATCGTGGGCGTTTACACCCTACATATGTTTGCGTTGGATTTCCAGGTTAGCGTGCCCCATTTTTTTAGGCGCGCTGCACGTCCCTCATCCTACATGATGATACGCCGCCCCCAAAGTTTAGGGTCTTGTCCATGATCCAGAGTTTCAGTGAATTTGCCTTGCCGCAGCGTAGGTGCAGCCGTGTAATTGCGCCGTATTTGAGGCCAGGCCAGGCTCCCAAGTCCTCGTCTCACTCCTTCCTACATGCATGGGCTCCACCTCGCGAGCACTCGAGACTTGGCGGCCCCCAGAAGGTCCAAGTACCGTCAGCCAGGCTATCCGAGATGTATCTGTTCAGACGGCCAACACGGTGGGTGGTCCTGAGAATTCTTATACCGGTATCCAGAACGCCAGGATGTAAAGGGCGGCCCCATTTACTCTCCCGCGGCTCCGGTGCACATTGGCACACATGGATATCACAAACGCCGGACAAGGCACGATGAACCGACAGCGGGATTTTATGGCAGGAGCGAGAGGCCCTCGTGATGGCTCTACCCCTAGTGGTGCTGGAGGACTCGCCAACGATGGACACACCAACGACACGGGAGCGAGAGACGCCCGGCACCGAGATCTATGGAGCGGATACTTGAACCACCGAGCCCCTGGGAGCCGTCCGCGATCCAGCATGGGCCCAAGTCTCCAGATACCGCACCTCCTCTCTTGTCCCATCAACAGAGTCGAGGAACGCAAGAACGATGCCGCGGCGGAGCACGCGCCCGAGGTTTACCGGGCTACCCATCCCGACGACACAGCACCAGAGGCGTTCTGGTACCCGGGGTTGATCCCCTCTCCCGGCGAGGAGGGAGAGGCCGAGGCAGGGCCACGAGAGAAGCAAAAGGGCCATAACCCGAAGCGGGCCGCTGCCTGCGGCGGCACCCTCGCTCACACGTGGCGGCGGCGGCGGCGGGAGGCGCGACGAGGGGGGAACGCGTTCGCCCGACAACAGCGGCGCCGTCGACGCCGATCCCCGGCCGGGCAGCGCGTGCAGTGGCAAGATATGCCCGCAGATCCTCGCCACGGCGCTGCCGTCGCCCGCCGCGGGCGACCCGGCGGCCGCGCCAAAGGTGCTGCACGTCTTTGCCCGTGGCTCCGAGGGCAGCCTGCTGCGACGCTCCATGACCCCCGCCGCGGCCTATACCGCCTCGGACGGTCCGGGCGCCAGGGTCGAGGCCGACTGGCAGGCGATGGGCGGGCCCGAGGGGTCGTCTGCGCTCTTCAGGAGCCAGCCGGCAGCGGCCGCCTGGAGGAGCGCCGGCGGCGACCAGCACGTTGGCGTGTTCGCCGTCTCGGCGAGCGGCGAGGCTGCTGCGACGACCTGGCTCGCATCGGACTCGGGCTCGGGGACGTGGAGCAGCTGGGCGAGGTTCGGGGGACCCGTAGCCGGCCCGCTCGTCGCCTGTACCGGCCACGATGGGGAGAAGGGAGAGCGGGCCGACGCCTGTAAGTTTTTGTAGTCGGTCCAGCCCTGTTCCCCCATCACCCAACGACCAACCGGACAATGCTGACATTGCCACCCCTCAGTCGCCCTCGCCACGGGAGCCCAGGGGTCTCTGTACTCTCACACGACGGCAACAAATGACTCGGCCACCAGCATGGCCGACTGGGACCAAAAGCTATCCCGCGGCTACGCGTCGTCCACGTCACCCGCAGTCGTCTGCCGCCGCCGCCGGCCGGGCCGGGCGCCGCCGTACGAGCTCCTGTACCAGCACAAGACGGCCGTGTACAGGACCTCGCTCGCGGCCCAGAACGGCAAGCTGGTCGGCGCCCTCGACCGTGCACCCGGCCAACTTTGTGGAAGAACCCGTGGCCATGGCCGTGGCGGACGACGGCGACGACGACGGCGGGCGCCTCATGTTTTTCGGGATTAGCGTCAACGGGCAGGTTTGGACCAGCAACTGGACGAGCACTGGGGGCTGGGAGCACCTCCGTTCGATTGGGGACGCCGGTTTCCAGAGCGTGCCGGTGGTGATCAATACAGGAAGCACGATCGAGATTGTTGCTTTGGGTATGTGCTTCTTCTTGTTCTTACGATTTGCCCCGTTCAAGTGAGAAAAAAA